CAACTGTTAACATTTTTTAAATATTATTTACATAAATAATATATAAATGTATTTCGTTTATTTTTAATGTATATTTATCAATCACATTAATATTTCTATTGAGTTAGTAATTGTGTAAGAAATAAATTAATAAAATTCCTCGTGCATGTTTTCAATAAGTGTTTCGTCTCATTTTTGCACAGGTATAAGAATTACTTGGTAATTCTTTTTACCTGAATAAAGACAAAAAAAAATATTAAATTGAAAATTTGAACACAAAAATAGTATGAATTTTGACTACAGCAGCTATTTTCACTAAAAAGATAGTTTAAAAAAAGTAAAAATGAAAAAGTTAAATTTTTGTGCAAAAGTTGTTATTTTAAATACCTCCCCGCGGGACAGATGTTTAGTAAGATACGATTTGTAATCTTTTGACGTATAACATAATATACAAGAGATATAATATTATCAATACTGTACTATTCTGATAATTTATGTACAAACTTATATACTTATAAACATGCTGAAATATATATATATATATATATATATATAACTTATCAAACATTCCTTGATAAAATATACAAATATATTCCTAAGCACAATGCAAAGTCGTATCCTACTATTAACTCTGCCTGGACAAGAATGGAGGGAGATAGAGGAAGCGGCAAAGGGCCTAAATTGCATAGAATAAACAAAAAAAAAACAATAAATTGTTACGAGTGTAAAAAAAAATAATAAGATACCACGAGTACTTGATATAATATTAATTGTATTGATCCATAGACTATTCAATAAGTTAAAGCATTATAACTAATTATAATTAATATTTTCACACAAAAATAGCATTTGGTAGCCATTTTCACCGTGAAGATAAAATAAACTACGAAATTTTTTTTTTATAATAAAGTATATTACATAGGCTTTAATTTAAGGTATATATAAAAGTGTCAGCATTTCCGGAACACTTTAAAAAGCTAACTTAAAAATTTAATTTTTTTGTGTAAAAGTTGTCATTTTAAATCCCCCCTTGTGGACAGGTAAAGGGTGAAATTTATAAAAAAAAATATATCAATTGATAAGTAAACACATTGTGCATCTATATAAAAAAACATTATATTGATACAATCATTACTGAAAAAGTTATGGTAGTTTTAAGTAAAAAAAATTGAAAAAATTTCGAAAATTAACCATTTTTATGGGGATGTTAGAACATTTATTACTATGTTCTTACCACTTATATTACACACGTTTTATTTCTATTTATTTAATTCGTAATACATATTAATTAGCATAGAGGGAGATGATGATGTGACAATTCTACTCGTCTGTAGCCCGGAGCTAATGACGTCGAACTAACAAAGGGCAGTCGTGTTTGAGTGGCCGTTATAGAAATAGTTTTCAATATTATTACTTACGTCTTATTTATAACTTAACTTGTTTTATTCAACGACCCGTCTATCGCCAATTGTCATCATATCACATGTCAGTATGTGTTTAGCGTTGATAGTGGTAACATTGTTTCCGAAATACGTATCCGCGACTTTTCATTAATTTTTTTGTGGCTTTGAGTTTAATAATATTTTTAATATTTTTTAGTTTTTTTAAATTAATAATATTTTTAATATAGTTTTAATTTTACTTAATTAATTAGCCACAAGTGATCAATTNAAAATTAATATCTTCTCAGCTTCGCATCGCAGCTAAAAACATTTATATCGAACATTATGTACATTCATTGGATTCTGTGTTTAGTGTCTCATTTATTTTAAAATTAATTTCATTAAAAAAGATTGAAATACTAAATTATGTACACGTAGTGGTCAATGAGTGGATGGACGAAGGGAACGGAGTCCCCCTTTTTATTCGGAGAACAATCTAGCAGCCACGGAGGATACTTATTAGACTATTCAAAAAGACGATGACAGGACAAGGATTTCTCATAAAAACCACTTGGTAGCCGACTATTGAGCTCATATCTCATAAAATCATTGTACTATCGACTAGGCTTAAAATATTGATACAGTGACACACGTATTACTACAGAAGGGCAGCTGCACATATAAAAGCTTTTGGGATTCACAGAAATCGTGCCATAATAAGAGTGTCACNGCCTCATTTATTTTAAAATTAATTTTATTAAAAAAGATTGAAATACTAAATTATGTACACGTAGTGGTCAATGAGTGGATAGACGAAGGGAACGGAGTCCCCCTTTTTATTCGGAGAACAATCTAGCAGCCACGGAGGATACTTATTAGACTATTCAAAAAGACGATGACAGGACCGGATTTCTCATAAAAACCACTTGGTAGCCGACTATTGAGCTCATATATCATAAAATCATTGTACTATCGACTAGGCTTAAAACATTGATACAGTGACACACGTATTACTACAGAAGGGCAGCTGCACATATAAAAGCTTTTGGGATTCACAGAAATCGTGCCATAATAAGAGTGTCACAAAAGTCAGATGAATTTTTACTATCATCGACTACGACTGTTACCCATATAGTCTAAGTAATTAACTTAACTTAGCTTTTACCGAGATAGTGAAAGAGGAGAGACTGACAGAACACTGCACACGCACTTCGGTGAGAGGTGCAACTCTTTGGAAAAATTTTACCAACCCTGCCAATATAACGAAGAGAGTGCACACCACGTTGTAAATTAGCTCTTGATTAACTTTGGGTTGAATCACAACGTGTTGTTGTGAATTATAGAGACGGCGTGAACTACCCTGAAGTAATGTATAACAACAGTTATACATTACAACAGTGGGGGACAGCCCACAATAATGCCGGTTATATAAAAAGTACCAGCTGTCACAAACACCGTTAATTATATTCTATCGTGTGGCAGTTGATCTCTAGCGTCTTAGCTTTACTTACCCCCTTACCCACCCAGCACAATTAATTCGTGTACAGTTCATCGTCTTAAATTAGTCAGTCAATTGTTTTATGTGTTATTCTTATTCGTAGCAAGCCCCCTCGCTTGTTGGTAAATTGTTTGGCAATTGTAAACTGTTATTTTATTATTTTTTTGTTGCACCTTAGTGCACAAAGTTTTCGTGCCCTTGCAGGCCACCAGTGATTGCGCCCTGACCATCACCAAATAACTTCATTGCCGTAGTCGCTATTTCGCCGTCTATTTTCATTCGCCATTACGTGCCTGCACTTACAATATGATTCGTGATACTGAGATGTTCGACGACATCATTACCTCATGATCTCATACACTCATCTCCACTCATCACTATCGATGACTTCATCTATTCAACTGAGTTATATATTATTTTTTGTTACTTATTATTTGTTTTAATTGAGTTCAACTATTTTATTTATGCCACTCAGCCGGGCACAAGTATTTAAATTTAAGATAAAAAAAACTCATTCGAGAACCTTTAATATATGTGGTTATTTGTTATTTGATTGTCTACTCTTGTTATTTATTAGATGTGCGATTAGCCGTCATCCACACAGTTCATCCCTCTTCCGCTTCAATATTAGTGATTTAAACAGGCTTAAGGCAAGAAGGCATTCAAGTGTGGTGCACAACTAGCCGCCCTACAGTCTAGATGTCTCTCACGACACATCTCCCATTCTCAATACTATAATATCTCATCTTTGTTTGTTATTTTAATACATGAGCTTTTTTTTTTCAATTTACTTTATTTCTTGCTATTCTAAATTCTTATATAGTCCATCTTTTTTTCATAATAGAATAATGCACATTATTGCACCTAACCTGAAGTATAAACCGGGTGGTGATTTAACATCCGTAAGTGAATTCATACACCACACCATATANTAAGTTCCGTAAGTGAATTCATACACCACACCATATATGAATATTAGATTGGGAATAGAAATATTTACCGTGTCAGACATGGTGTGTCGTTCAGTCATGTAGTGTTAAAAGGGTCAAGTATAACGCGGATGCAGATAAATGAAAAGAAATAATTGTAGTGATCCAATTAAATTACTTGATAAGGAATTTAATATTTTTTTGTACAAATGAAATCATCTAAAATATTTCAATTTTTCTAAATAAATAATTTTATAAGACTACGGTGATTTTTCATTAAAACTTATAAAAAATCAAAACAGAACAAATAGTTGAAATTTAAAACAGTTTATTTTGTTTCCTAAAATTTTTTTTCATATTATTGAAGTAATTTTAATTCAATGATTCAATAATGTTTTCGATCTTTTCAGATAATATAAAATATTATTTTTTAATCACTGCTATTTGTATTTTGTAGACGTTCGGAGAACAAAACATTATTTTAAATCACAAAAAAAAACAAAAATACTATGCATACGACAGTAAGTATAGATCATGTTGAATATAACCTATTTTACTCATTCTCTCAGACCCTTCTCTTGCTTCAATAACAGTGATTTAAAAAGGCTTAAAGTAAAACGGCATTCTAGTGCGGTGCACAAGTAGACGTCCTACGGTCTAGCTACTTCGTACAAAACAAACAAAATGAGAAGCAAGTTAATTATGTATCTTTTGATTTGAAAAAATTAAGTAGACACTTTTATAAAATATTAAAGAAAAAATAAAAATACCCATAGTTGATAGATTTAAAAAAATACGTATCTAAAAGCCGACTCCAAGTAGTTGAGATTAAGGTGAAGAAAGACGTATCTAAAAGAAACCAAAAGAAAAAATATACACATATAAGTTTTATTTTTGAATTAAATAAGTGGTTATGATAAAAGAATCACTTTGTATCTTATTATGTAATTATAAAATACTTTTTAATTTATCAAAAAAAGTGGGTTAGAATTTTTTTTCTAGGGTGATGATGTGTCAAAATTTTATAATATACAACTGATTTTTTTTTTAATAATTATGCAAATTGTTATTATAATTTTTATTAAAACCAATAGTATGGTTTTGTTTTTATTTTAAAATAACAAATATCGACAACATACATTACGAGTACCATATGTATAAATTATNGACAACATACATTACGAGTATCATATGTATAAATTATGTCATATCTAAATATTTATTATTATTGTCCTTTATTAATTTTAAATGGTTGAATAATTTATTGAAACAAGTGTGATTGAATTACCATAAATATTTTTGAAAAATAAATATCTACCATACTATAATAGATATCAAATATTACAAATCTATTTTATAAATTCTTTCAAATTCTGTGTCAATTAACACATAAATTTGCTGAAATTTTTTCTCTATTTCACATAGACTTGTTGGTATAAGTTCAAATTTGTATGGTTCCTCGTCTTTGTGAGATTTCGGAAATCCTTTGAATATTTTATCCAATACATTTTGTGATAAAATTTCTTTATCTTTAATATTTATCCATTCAGATTTATTTTTTAACTTAAATATTTCCCTATCTTGGGGCTTTAAGTAAATATTTGAATAATAATCACTTACTAATCTTTGAAAAATACACATTTTATCACATTCATTAATTCCACATTTAATATCATCTAATCCACGTCGTAAAATAATGTCGCCATTTAAATTTGTCAGTATATCACTCAATTTTTTTAAATAATTCATTAATTGGTCCCAATATGGTGTTTTACAATAATCAATTCTTAGTGCCTCAAAGGCATATACCATTAGCAAAATCGCATACTTATAAGTTCGATCACACATCATTGTTATTGCTTTTTTAAGAGTGGATTTAACAATGTACACGTACATTGTTGAATTAAGAATGAAATCGTTAATTGTTGTATTTGGTAGTAGAGAAACTTTCGATTGAACAAGTTCTTCTTTGATATATTTCCATAAAGACAAATTCATGACATCTCTTAGTTGATTTGTAGTTTTTTCATCATAAACCGTATTATTTATTAAAGATGTATTATTATCTAGTTTACTGGTCTGTTAAAAATAAATTAAATTTTTTTATAAAATCGTACTTAATTACCTTCCTATATAGAAAAACATATTTCATAGGGTATATCTTAAAACATTTAAGGTTGCAAACGTTTAGTTTATGTTAAAAACTAAAATATGCTTTTTTACGAGTTTTTATACAATGTCATCGATTTGGTTTACTCCGTACCCATCTACTTCTAGCGGGATCAAAGAAATATTAGTGCTTTTAATAAATAACTAATGTGGTCATCAAATATAAATGTAGTTACAAGAATAGTCAGTCTAGACGTATTATAAATAAAAATCAAATCGTAATATCAATCGATTATAACATTAATTTCACGGGAGATTATCGTTTCCGCCAAAATTGACCGTATAGTTTCCGCCAAACCGATAGTTTATACCTGTCTACAAATAAAGGCTTGAGAACCACTGGTTAAATATTTGCCAAAATAACCCGATAATAATTATCTACTTTTTCCTATTCTATTATTGTTAGTTAGATAGCAGTGTATTGATCGGTATATCGATAAATATTTTGCCATCCGTTCTTTTTTATTTTACTTTTTTAATTAAAATGTCATTTGAATATATCAGAAGTAAGCGGGGCCAACAAATGATTTTATTGAATAATTTTATGTTTCGTTTTGCACATAAAGCAATACAAACGGCTTACATACGTTGGCGTTGTTTTGTAAAAGAATGCAAAGGTACCATTCACGTGAATGAGCTTGATGAAATTATTGATCAAACAGGTATTTTTAAAATTTTTAGTTAAATTGATTAAAGCTGACCTTATTTTAAATTAGTTTTAATATGTCTTATAGAACATAAATGTAATAGATTCCATGTTCTTGTTCTGATCCCATAATTATGAGACAAAAATTAGCAGGCGCCTGTAAACGCAAAGCTATAGACGATATTTTCCAAAGACCGCAAAAAATAATTTTAATTAATATATTTTTAAAAATTTTAATAGAAAACGTTCAATCTTAAAATTACATTAAAATATATAGTTCTAATAACGTAATCTCAATAAGCGTACGGAATAAAATNCTGTTGACAATCTATGTATATATATCATAATCTTTTTTTTTTGTTATCTAATAACAGCCGGCCGGTCTTTTTGGTATGCCCGTCAGTGTACGTTCCACCGCCTAACTAAGGCGACGCGCTCCTAGTTTATTTTAGTTATTTATTATGTCAGGTTGAATAAGTGTTTAAAAATATTATTTTATGTCAAATTTTTTGTTTATTGTTTGGATATTAAATATTATTAAAATTAAAGTACAATAAATAATTAAAAATATAGAGCGTTCTGTTATTAAATTCTAATACACCGCTCACCCTAACATTTGGTCCTTACGAACACGATTGTTCAAAATTGAGCCGTCTAATAATTATTAGCATAAATAGGTGTTATTTCAGTAAATAATAAATTTAGTTCGTTCGTTTTTTAGTTCCCGTTTAGTTCGAATAGTGTTTCGCGAGTTCGTATGTAATCGACGCGTAGGTGCTATATTCGGACAAAGAAAACGGAATTACTGGCTATAACCAAATATAGCTAAAGCGTACAAAGTGTTGTTATCATCCGCACCTATCAATAATGGCAGAGAAGGCAAGCAGCCGAAGAGGGGTGTTAAAGTCTCAGCTAACCAAATTTATGACCTATGTCAAAAATTTCAACAATGATAGCGATATCGAGCAATTAAAGTTACGAAAGCAAAAAGTTGAAGAAAGCTGGGACGAGTTTCAAAAACTACAGTCCGAAATTGAAGATAAGTCGTCGGAACAAAATGACGAAGAAAAATATAGAGATAACTTTGAAAATGATTATTTCAAGGCACTTGCTGAATGTAGCAGAGTGATGGAAAAATACAACAAGGTAAATAAGCGAGAAAGTGCGACTGGGTCCCAACAATTAGCCAATTTGCCAGTACCAAACAATAATGCGGCTCCATTCTTGAGATTAGGAAATTACGAAGTACCTGATTTCGACGGTGAATACAAAAATTGGTCAACATTCAGCGATTCATTTTTAGCCTTTATCGACTCGCAGCCAGGTATCCCGGACATACAAAAATTCTTTTATTTAAAAAAGGCATTAAAAGGGAAAGCGGCAAAAGCAATCCAGGCATTTATCATGACTGAAGATAATTACAAATTAGCATGGAAATGTATTAACGATCGTTTTAATAATGAAAAAATCATAATTCAAACTCATACAAAGGCTATCTACGATATACAGGCAATTAAAAAGGAGTCGGCTTCTGAATTACGTCATTTATTAGACACATTAGCGGGAGAAATGACTACGCTAAAACAACTCGGGACGGACCCAGTTACCTGGGGTGCTATGTTGCTACACATAATTTCAATAAAATTAGATAGCACAACATTGAAAGCGTGGGAAACCGACGCGCCTAAAACCAAGATGCCAACGGTCGAAGAATTAATACAATTCTTAGAGAAAAGGTTTCAAATTTTAGAAGCGGTAGAAAGTTCTCAGAGGCTGGCAATTAAAGGTGATAGCGACAGAAAGGAAATGCCATTTGTAAAGGATAGAAAGCGGAGAGAACCGGAGTGGCAAAAAAGAACGGCTATGCACGCGTCATCGGCAAAATTGAGATGTTATCTTTGCGATAAAACTCATGCGATATACCGCTGTCCTCAGTTTCTTTCGCTATCCATAAAGGAGCGTCAAGAACAAGTCAAACAATTAAATATATGTGTCATATGTTTGGGTCGTCACGCTGAAAATACATGTAAATTTTCCAACTGTAGAAAATGTAGCGAACGCCATAATACATTATTACACAGCCAAGCAGACGACATTTCGACTAGCGCTGCCGTAAGTGCTCATACGATGATCGGGGAAAGTAAACAAGTTTTGTTGTCCACGGCAATTATAAGAATTGATTCCAAAACCAATGAGTCTCTTTTAGCTAGAGCATTATTAGACTCGGGTAGTCAAATAAATTTGATGACTGCTGAGTTAGCTCAAAAACTAAAGTTACCTAAAAGAAAAATAAATGTATCTATTTCAGGTGTAAACAATACTGCGAACAAATCGCATTACGCAGTAACAACAACAATAAGAGCGAGAGAAACAGAATATAATAGTATTCAAGAGTTCCTTGTATTGCCGAAAATAACGACGACATTACCTGCCGATAATGTTGACATAACTTCGATTAAATTGCCTGATTACGTCAAACTAGCCGACCCGTCCTATGCGGTTGCGGGGAAAATAGACATATTAATTGGAGCTGAATGTTTTTATAGCATAATTCGTGGCGGCAAGTACAATGAGAATCCGAATGTTGTTTATCAAGAAACGGACTTGGGCTGGGTAGCTGCAGGATCCGCTCTAATTATGAAAACGCGTACAAATCATTCATTTTTTACAACAACAGTTATAATTGAAAATGAAGTCAGCCTAAATCAGCAAATGGCGCAGTTTTGGAAAAATGAAGAAATTATACCTAAACGTATTGTCAGCTTAGAAGAAAAGGCCTGTGTTGATCATTTTGAAAATACAGTTAAACGAAATGATGAAGGCCAATTTGTAGTGGAGCTGCCGATAAAAAACAATTGTAATAATTTGGGCGAATCAAAGTCAAAAGCGATTACGCAATTTTTATCATCTGAGAGAAGACTTTCAAAAAACGAAAAATTAAAAAGAGACTATGTGCAATTCATGCAAGAGTACGAAGAATTACAACACATGCAGGAAGTCCCTGATGAAAGACAAAGCAGTTGCCAACAAAACAATTATTTTATGCCGCACCATGCCGTGGTTCGCGATGACAAAGTCACTACGAAAACGCGGATTGTATTCAATGCGTCTAGTCCTTCTAGTACAGGAGTCAGCCTTAATGACACGTTAATGGTAGGCCCAGTAATACAAGAAGATATAGTGTGTATTCTCATCCGGTTTAGAACGCACAGATACGCATTATGTGCTGATATCGAGAAAATGTATCGTCAAGTGTGTGTAGCTGAAAAGGATTGGCCGTTGCAGCAGATAGTATGGCGATCCAATCCAACTGAAAACATAAAAAGTTATTATTTGAAAACTTTGACCTTCGGTACAGCGCCTGCTTCGTTCATTGCGACAGCATGTTTAAAAAGGTTGGCCGAAGAAAATAAAAGGGAGTACCCGGTCGCTTGTCAAGCTATCGAATTTGATATGTACATGGATGACTTATTAACGGGTGCAAACACCAAGGAAGAGGCGGCTTCACTGGGAAACACTATTTCAGGCCTGTTATTAAGTGCTCGATTTGTTTTACGAAAATGGACATCAAATGATCCGTCGATATTAGTAAACATAAATAACGAAAATAATGATACAATGCACACAATGAGTATAGGCAACGATGCTATTAAAACGCTTGGTCTGTTGTGGAATACCGCCGACGATGTTTATCTGTATAAATACAATACTGCTGTAACAGGTAATCAGCGGCCGATAACAAAACGTTATATCTTATCGACGATTGCGGCAATTTACGATCCACTGGGATTGATATCTCCCATAGTGGTAGTGGCAAAAATCATAATACAATTATTGTGGAAAATGTCAATGCAATGGGACGAGCCAGTGTCTGAACGTATCAGTACGGATTGGAATGCGTTTTGTGATAGTCTAACGCAAATCGATTGTTTAAAAATACCGCGTCGAATAATCGGGTGTGACGCGTTCAAATTTATTCAAATTCACGGTTTTTCTGACGCCAGCGAAAAGGCGTTTGGTGCGTGCGTTTATCTACGTGCTACCGATGCACATGAAAATCATACAGTCCGACTTGTAGCGTCTAAATCGCGTGTAGCGCCATTAAAAGTTATTACTCTTGCGCGGCTGGAGCTTTGCGCCGCTGTGCTATTAAGTAGACTTGTAAAAAAAATCGTCTCGTGTCTTCGATTAAACATAAATAATACGTATTACTGGTCTGATTCGACCATCGTGTTAGCATGGTTGAGCTCCTCTCCAACTCGTTGGAAAACCTTTGTCGCCCACCGGGTTGGCGAGATCCAAGAAAATAGTGAGGCTGTTCAATGGAAGCATGTGCCAACCAAGCAAAATCCAGCCGATCTTATTTCACGTGGGTGTGACGTAAAAATGTTACTAGACAATAATTTGTGGTGGCAAGGTCCTGATTTCTTGCGGCAAGAATCGTCCATGTGGCCTAAAATTTCAAGGAGCTATGAAACGTGTGTGGAAGAAAAGAAAAATGTTATGGTTGTAGTAGCTGAAAATCAAGAGTCGACAATAATTGAACGATTTTCGTCGCTACCAAAGTTATTAAGAGTAATCTCGTATGTAATGCGGTTCAAATCGCCGTTTAAATTTAATTCTATCAATGTCAGTGAATGCGAGATAAGGGAAGTGTTGATTAAGCTTATTAAATTAGAGCAGAAAAAACATTTCGTTGAAGAAATAAAATGCTTGCAAAAATGTGTTTTTATTAGTGGTCGCAGTCAACTCAATAGATTAAATGCGTTTTTAGACGAGCACCAAGTAATACGCGTTGGTGGCCGGTTAAATAATTCGGTTGTCGCGAGTAGAGACAAAAAAAATCCAATACTATTACCGTCAAAGTCCAAGCTAACTAAATTAATTTTTGAAAACGAGCACATAAGATTACTACACGCTGGACCACAAGCTTTGTTGTCGTCTTTACGAGAAAAATATTGGCCTTTGAACGGAAGAAATATTTCCAGATCTACGGTAAATCAATGCATCGCTTGTTTTCGCTCGAGGCCGAACGTGTACCAACCCATTATGGGTAACTTACCGAGCTCACGCGTGGACGCGTTCGAGCGTGCGTTTTTTGCAGCGGGCGTGGATTATGCTGGGCCAATCAATATAAAAAGTGGACTTAGAAAAAACGCGCCTCTGGTAAAGGCGTACGTCTCTTTGTTTGTTTGTTTTTCGTCAAAGGCGGTTCACCTAGAGCTTGTTAGCGATCTCACAACGGAGTCGTTTCTAAATGCACTTAGGAGATTCTGGGCCCGCAGAGGAATGAATAAATACATGTACTCAGATAACGCCACAAATATGGTAGGTGCGAATAGAAAATTAAAGGAATTAATAGAGCTGTTCAAGTCTAAGGATCACTTGGAAGCTGTAAACCGCTGCTCTGCTGCCCTCGGCGTCAAATGGTGTTTCATCCCAGCGCGCAGTCCACATTTTGGCGGTCTATGGGAAAGCTCAGTGAAATCCGTTAAAAAACATTTAACAAGATCGTTTGGTGAGGCCTCATTAAGTTACGAAGAATTATATACCGCTCTTGTGCGAATTGAGGCGTGCTTGAATTCTAGGCCTATAACGCCCCTATCTACCGATCCGTCGGNGGATTCTAGGCCTATAACGACCCTATCTACCGATCCGTCGGATTTAAATGCATTAACTCCTGCTCATTTTTTAATCGGTGGTTCTATGACTGAAATACCCGAACCGGACTTAACCAAAATAACTCCTAATCGTCTGAGACGATGGCAGCGGGTAACTCAATTGACACAGCAAGTTTGGAATCGATGGCAAACCGAATATTTGTCTACGCTTCAATATAGGGCAAAATGGACAAAATCGGTGGGAGCTGTTCCCAAAGAAGGTGATTTGGTTCTAATAAAGGAATGTAACTTGCCTCCACTTCAATGGAGGCTCGGAAGAATTTCAAAGATTTTTTTTGGGAATGACAATATTGCCAGAGTAGCTATGGTGAAAACAGATAGAGGGGAATTCAAGAGGGCAGTCCGAACCTTATGCCCTTTGCCACTCGATGAGGAGTAGTCAAGTTTGTAGAATGTTGTACATTAAATATATTATGTAAAATAAAACTGT